CTTAACAGCCTTCATTTCTTTATCCAGCTTTTTCGTCAATCTTTTTCTAACCAAATTGCTTTCATTTTTCCCCCTCCTTCTAGTACAAAAAAAAAACTAGAATCTCGATTCTATCATTCTCTATACAATTGATAGTAAAGTGAAAGAACTAAACAAACAAAAAAGAACTAAACAAAAATTGATTGACCTGTACTTCTAGAAAACAACGACTTTCCTAAGCACTAAGAGCAGTGCACTGGTTAGATAGATTTCGTTGCAATCAATTTATAATGTGTTCAGTTCTTAACAGATCAACGCAAATTAATTCATAGTTAAATATAACAACACTCGCAATGACAGGTTCGACAGATGATATTTATTTTTAAAAAACTACATTCCTTAACGCCACTAATCCGGACGTTTTGTCACGGTGGATTTATAGATAGCGGCTCGGATTGAGGAATCGGAGATCAGAGTTCGAATTCCAGTCGTATCTATTACATTCACTTATGTGCTAATACCTTTGGGGAAAGTGTGAATCCTCTTCTTCTAAAGCTATGGGTAAATAGCAGGACAGACCAGTTTCTATAGATGATAAGTGGTCTACCGCAGAAAGAAATGGTAACCGACTACGGGAAAAAAATTCTGCCTTGTCAGTCATGTATCTTTCGATATGTGATCGCCTAAGCGTGTATCACGCATGGCACATAACTGACTGGCAGCATTTTATGCCATGTCTACAGGAGTGACTCATTCTTATCCTCTTTGCATCCTGTCACTAAGGAATATGTTCCTTTCAGGCAGTTTCTTGCCGGAGAGAGGCTGCTTTGTGGAACAGACTCTCGCTAGAATGAATGAACCCTTAACCTCAAGTCCAAGGACAAACGTCATCTGTTCTCCATATCTACATTATTCACGATCCTTACGCTCATAAAGCAGCCCAATTCAGTAACCCTCTACCCTGAGTGTCTCTTGAGTCTTGTATTGGAGAAACAATTACGCACCTGTGTTAGGCATGAGGATAAAATACATTCGGCAGCAAGGTCTCTGATCGAGGGATTAGATGTTTTAGGGATCTGGAAACATGTCTTAATTGTTGTTATTCCCAAATCCACCCGGCTCGTAGTGGTAGCACCTGCTAGGGTCCCAGCTATGGGAAAATAATGCCTCCCCACCAAAAAAAAAAAAAAAAAAACAAACACAGAGCACTATGAAATTATAAAATACATTTTTATTGTAAAAATACCAGCAATACATTTTTATATACAGAAAATTGACCAACAATACATTTTATCCGTGGTTGAATGCAAACAATTGCGTTCAAAATATTTAGATTTCGGCATTAAATAACCCATAGATGTGTTGATATGCCGCTAAACAAAATCAACCAACCATCATGAAAGAATACTTTCATGACATTAATCTATATATCTGACAATTTCTTAAATCAAACTCTATTTCGAATTATAACTTCATCCAAACTACAACATAAAATCACCGCCTCTAGTAATTACGTTCACACAAACATGTTTATAAACAAAAGCTGAGGATCATCTACCATGTATTCAATTGTGAAAGCAGAATAACATATTTTTATTATTTCAAAGCTCCCAAGAAAATTACATTTTGTCAGTAAATAACCCATAAGGAATTGATATACCGTTAAAGAGACAATCAATCAAAAATTACGCACATAAATGCGGACATTGGTTCAATATTGCAGAGTCTAGGATATAGAGAAATGATTTATATACTTTATATATTTTGGAAATATCCATACTGATCACTAATATTATCATTATATATATATATATATATATATATATATATATATATATATATTATGAAATGGACAAAGACCGACAATTGTTTTAGGACATTTTTATCTTTAAACATTCTTTTTTATAGATACAGATATTTAAGCATATGCTTTGTTTATAATAAACAGTATTAAACAACATTTACCAGCCTGCATATCCGAGAAATTTTCAGAGAAAATATTCGTCCTCTGACAGGAATCGAAACGTATCCTACACGGAACCGTCATATAGCCTGACGTGCCTTAACCGATTCGGCCATTAGAGAAGCGTTCGGTTAACAATGTCGATTTTACTATGGATCTTTGTAATTTAAAGACAGAAAAATCTAGCTTGCTAACCGAACAGTTCTCTGTGGCCGAATCGGTTAAGGCACGTCAGGCTATATGACAGTTACGTATAGGATAAATATTTCAGGAGCATATATTGTCATCCACAGACAGGCTGTTTCGATGTATGACAGATATAAGAACAAACAGTAAACGTTTTTCAATCTAACATGTTTCACTTTTGTTTAAGTTTCATCTGACAATGATATAGGCAGAGAAAAAGAAAGAAATTCTTGTACGTTTATTTCTCTGTGTTTTAATTTTCATTGGTTAATCATAATTCGCGTGCATTTCACTTGCTTAACTAACATTAGTATATTTTGTAACATTCCGTATTCAAGGAGAGGCTATGCGTCCATTCAAATGTTAAAGGAATTGACGGATTCCAAGCCTAACAGAAAAAGATAAGTAATGTTTGATCTGTGTAAATCTATAATAATTCTTGTTCATGTGGAATCAGATTATATTATGGATTTGCAAGGGTGTGTGTGTGTGTGTGTGTGTGTGTGTGTGTGTGTGTGTGTGTGTGTCGAAAAACTGGGGTCGAACGCCGATATCTGGCGGCTGTGGTGGAGTCCTTTTAGCCGCGAGGCGTTGTTCAAACGAGTTGCGTGATACTAAGTCTTCCAATAGCGTGAATAATAAAAAATATTTAGTGTTTCTTTCCTCTAGACTGGTGTCCAACCAAGGTTTAAGAGTCCAGTCTTTTGGGGGAAGAAGAGATGGCTTTTCAATGATATTTGCAGAAAACTGAATGCAACGAACGCCGAGGTGCTAACCATTACACTATTATACCATATATATATATATATATATATATATATATATATATATATATATATATATATATATATATATATATATATATATATATATATATATATATATATATATATGTAGGACGCCCATGGCTAAGATACAAAGACAAGCTGAAAAGCAACTTTTCAGCACTCAATATACCACATAACACCCTTGATCGCTTAGCTTTAGAGAGGGTAGAATGGAGATCAACGTGTTTTAGTGGACTCAGCAATTTTCAATCTGCTTGTCTGAATCATCTTCAAGAAGCGAGAGCAAGATCTAAAAGGTCACCCAATCTAACAGTGATCTCATTTCACAATCCTCACACTTGCTCCAAATGTGGCCTCCTTTGTAAATCACTAGCGGGTCTTAAATGCCACTTAAGATTATCGCATAAACTTTCATAACTGAATCAATAAGCTGTCAGCTCCTCACACGTCGAAACCGACGGAGAGTCCATTATATATATATATATATATATATATATATATATTCAGGTGGTGTAATGGTTAGCACCTCGGCGTTCGTTGCATTCGGTTTTGTAAATATCATATATATATATATATATATATATATATATATATATATATATATATATATCATACAAATCATACATATATATATCATAAAAATATATATATATATATATATATATATATATATATATCCTGGTCTGTTTATATCTAACTATCTATCTATCTATCTGAACTGCCAATTGTTTTGTTTACGCTCTGGGTACTAAAACAAATCTTGCAGTTATAGACTTCGAAAGGTTTCATGCATTTTATAAAAAGACTAAATGCGCTTTGCTTTTTATGATGGTGCTTCCGTAGATGAAACGCTAACTATATATGCTTACAATGTGGTTTCCCGTAGATAAGAAGAAATTGCTTGTTTAATTCCTGCTGGGAGGTTTTTATTTTGACAATATTGTCGAAGTTCTAAGCCGGTAAAAAACAATTTCACTGTTTGGAAAATAAAACAAAACTATTTAAGGATATCTACTCAAAAAGCTGTAGCCACTAACATTTTGCTGTCATATGTATGTGGATAGTGTAGTTCTGTTCGAGTATTTCCTGTTGGTGAATGAAAGGTTGTGATTATCAAAAAGACAGAAATATCACACCAACAATAAGCTGGAAAATATTGAAAAAAGCACCTGCCTACAGCAACATTACAAAAAAATGCCTACTTTGCCAACACGAAAAAGTAGCAATAATATCCCACACGCCGCAAAAGTATTTACTAAACAAAAGATTAGAGATAATCTCCAAATGTAGGCATAAGAATAAGTACCTATTATCCGAATTTGTACCAAACGGATATAAAAACGTCACCAACCATCATTCTTCAGTTCAAGCTACCATCACAATAAGTACATTTATTGTTATTATCATTGCACCACCATTAGTAATCACTTCTACCACTTTACAATAACTATTAGCTACTAATATTATCATTACCACCAACACCCAACACAATTACTACCACATCACATCTACTATTAACATATAAATCAACTGAAATTATTAACGTAAATTACTCCCCCCAGCATATTTAATACGTTCTTATATATATCCGTTCATATATATATATAAAAGTGAACATAGAAGTCAACACTTAGAGGCTCCTCTAAGTGTTGACTTCTATGTTCACTTTTATATTTACACACGCTCTATCTCTGATATTGAGCACTTTGTCCCATAAATATAGCACACCTTAAGACTATATTTCTTCATATATATATATATGTATATATATATATTGATTGATTGATTGATTGATTGATTATATAGGTTATTTAGATTCAGCGTTTGTTTTTCATTTTATGATTCTGATAACTATGCCATTCCCGTAATAGGTGAGTAATATCTGGTGTATCTTCCCCCACGAATATTTTTAAACATCTGCATGTTTTTCTTTTTGCATATAGCAGGAGAGAAACGCATTCATCTTATAATTAATCTCCTCTAAATATTTATCTGTCTATATTTACCAGACTGTTTATCTGTGATTGTCATCTGCGTAAATATTTACAGCCTGCCATCCTCACGTACACAATACGAAGGATGCCATGGACATAATCGCCTGTTTTTCGCTGCGCCGGTGTTGTTTCTTTTTACTTTTTTTTTTTTTTTAAATTAGATTAATCAGAGAATTTGTTCGTCTTATGCCTTAAAGTCTGTGATATATTACTAGTGTGTGCGGAATCAAGTATCTATCTATCTATCTATCTATCTATCTATCTATCTATCTATCTATCTATCTATTTCAGTCTTCTCATATCTATCTATCTATCTATCTATCTATATATTTACTTTCTTTCTCTCTATCTGCCTATCTATCTGTTCGTTTTTTATCTATCTGAATGTGTTTATTTTCGTTCTATCTCAATCTGTTCATTTTCTTTATTATTCTCTTCATGAGGAAAATCTATCTATCTATCTATCTATCTATCTATCTATCTATCTATCTATCTATCTATCTCATTCTGTTGGTTTTTGTATCTATCTATCTATCTATCTATATATATATATATATATATATATATATATATATATATATATATATATATATATATCAATTTGTTTTTCTTTGTATCTATTTCCCGCTATTCATTTTCTATTTTATATTCTGTTCATGGGCAATCTATCTATCTATCTATCTATCTATCTATCTATCTATCTATCTATCTATCTATCTATCCTTTTCCGTGAACTACTATCTATCTATCTATCTATCTCAATTTGTTCATTTTCTATTTATTTTGTTTCTCTCTCTCTCTCTCTCTCTCTCTATCTCTCTCTCTCTCTCTACATACACACACACACGCGCACACACATATATATGTGTATGTGTGTGCGTCTGTCTGTGTGTCTGTATTTTGGCAGTATATCTTCATTCAAGAATGTCTGGTTGAATAATCTAAAGATATTATGTGTATTTATGTCTGTTTAATTAAAAATTAACGTTATCTAACGGAGGTAACTCATTTTATATCTGTAATTTTTTTTAAAATTACAATTTAAGTATTATAAAACATTGCTGAAATAATTGTAATTTTTTAAAAATTTACAATTTAAGTATTTTAAAACTTTCCTTAATGAGTTTAATAACAACATTAAGAAATAAAAATAAAAATATTAATAGACATAATATATCGTGATTCTTTAACCAAACATTCTGATATATATATATATATATATATATATATATATTGAGAGAGAGAGAGAGAGACTAGCAGTATAACCCGTCTTTGCCCGGGTCTTTCATTACTGGGAATTTTTGCCGTTCATTTGGAGCATTTTAAGTTTAAAGTCAGCCCACCCGAAAATCAATATTACTAACAACAATTGGGTGCAACTGAGGTGCATCCCTAAATGGGGGGTTAACAATTTGAAAAGGTGGGTGACCCTGGAAAGGCCGTCTTTGCGTTTTCTCAATCTTACAGTTTCAGCTTCACATGCAGCAGCCGTTAAAGATGCGTTTCTCCTCAGCCATTGAGTTCTTTGATCATGATTTACAGCCTCGCACACAGAAGCGTTCGGGTATGCTCTTCTGGAAAGCTGATGGTTACGTTGATCTTCGGAGTCAGTGGCTCTGATTGAAGTATTCCGACATGCATTTTGGGACAGGCAAACTGAACGTTCTAAAGACGAATCGTTAACTCTTATTCGCATGGCGAACCTAGCGGCAACGGTTTTGCGACCTAAGCAAGTTCTTTTCTTTAGGCAAGTATGAGTTGTCAAATAGAATGCGTAGGCAAATACCAGAAGAGAACGTTGTAAAATCTACAGGGATCACTAAGCTCGAATAACTTTAGAAAAGGTTGGAAAAATAAATGTTGAGTAATAAAAAAGCAAGCTTACTTATTACTACGGTGAATGCAATGCAAAAACTAACAGGACAATAAAAAAGATTAAATTGTGAACGGCTATAAACGACAATGAAAACAACGCCTTAAATCTGTAGTAGTGGGCTTTATGCAACGGAAAAGGTAACCTCACTTGAGAGAGATTAATAGCTTGGCCTGGAGAGGGGAATGTGTAAGCAGGGCTGAGCTTACAGAAGTAGAAGGGGAATTACGTAATTAAGCGGTAGCAATGAGCTTAGGACTGCGTAAACAGGCCATGCGTATGCGCGTGCATCAGCTCATGTGTCAGCGAGTGACACATCTCGTGACAAACTGCGTGTTGCAGGGCCACACGTACACGCGTTGCTGCACGCGCTAATTATCAAGGTCAGTAACAAACGATGGACAATGCGTGGAGGCGTGAATCACGCTAGGATTGGAAAGTTATGTGTGAAAAAGTAAATGTTGTAAAAAATCAGTTTTTTCGACGTTTCACCTTCAAGGTTGTAATTTTTTCCAGCCAATTCGGACTCAAAACCAGTACTGAAGAATTTTCTATCAAACAAAAAAAAAATCATCGAAATCGGATGAAAACTGTGGAAACGCATCAAAAACATCCGATCACACACACACATACATATATTTTGAAAATTATAGATATAGGTAATACATTTCACCCTATAAAAGAGTCGCAAGTCACCCAAGTTTCAGGGTTACTATTAGAATATTTATAATTAATATTTTGTATGATACAAATGAAAGAGGAAGTGAAAGGAAGGGAAAATCGAGAGGTTGAGGAGGATATATAACGATTGACACTTAACCTGAAGATGTTAAGTTTGTGGTATTCAAGAAAATCTCTACGCGAAAATACGTTTCCACAAAGTAGCAGTCTTTGGAAGAAATCCCTCTGAGTAGAACAGTCTCCATACATTTGGAATACAGCGGAAACGAGGTGGTTTCTGCTCCGTGGATGTAGCACGATATGCCCTAGCTGTAAAGATCTGAACTGGTGGAACTGATGAATGGAGTTCATCTGAACATTTGCCATGGAAATCGCGATAGAATAAAAATAGGCTTACAACGTTGCGCCTGTAGAGAAAGAGATCATAAAAGAAAAAAGTTTTTCCCCCTCAAGACTACCTATCAAGCTATCTATCTTACTATATATATATAAATATATACAGGCCCACCCACACACACACACACACACATATATATATATATATATATATATATATATATATATATGGATACCTACTTGAATGTTCGTAGAGTTCAGTCAGTTATGTGCCATGCGTGATCATGTAATTTTCGATATCGATGAGATATCTGACGAGGCAGATTTTTTCCCGCATTTCTTTCTGCGGTAGATCAGTTGCCATCCAAGGCTATAGAACCCATTCCTGTTATTTACCCATAGCTGGAAAGAAGAAGAGGAAGATTCATATTTTCCCAAGGGTATTAGCACCTATGTGAATGTAATGGATTCGACTGGAATTCGAACTCGGCTTTCCGATTCCTCAATCCGAGCCGCTATCCAGTGTACAACCGTGACTCCTTACAGTAAATATATGTACGTGTGTATCACGATGAGCGCCTGTGCGCACAAAAATATATATTTTACCTTACATGTGTGTATGTGTGTGAATGCATATGCGTGTGTCTACTCGTGTATGCATTAATCACACATACACACACATATATATATATATATATATATATATATATATATCAGCATATAATAATTATCAATGTGCATTTATTTATATATTTCCTGTCTCATCTGTAGTGGGAACAGAGGTAATTCAATTGAAGTAAGTAAATTTATGAGTCGTTTTAAATCGTTAAATGACCCATGAGAAGTTGATATCCCGTTAAGCAAATCAATCAGTCACGGCACTTCACACGTATGTTACAGCAATTTCGGTATATGGAAAAATACTGTAAAGAATTAAACCAATGATGCTTCTATCAATACGGACGAACGGACAAAAGATCAGAGACACTGTGTAATGGTAAATTGTCTAAGATTGCTTAAAGCTACAAAGGACAGAAAGTAGTGGAGAGACATGACTGCCCACGTTGTGAATGATAGAAACCATATAAATATATATTGAAACATTAAGAGTGTATGAAAACGCATTGCACTATTCTTTCCATTCGTTGATAAACTTAATGTCTTTAATTCATATAAAACAAAATAATAATAAGCAGACACTTGCAGGAGGAAAATACTGCATTACCTGTAATAACTGCCACAAGGAATACATAGGAGAAACTTCAAGGAATTTAAATAAATGATTATATGAACACAAAAGGGATTTTTCAAAAATAACGCACTCAATGCATTAATTGCTCACCATAATTAGTCTGACAATTATCTCGACTTAAAAAAAATGATACTGCATTTAAAAGAGAAAGTAATTTGCTAAGACGAAAATATATAGAAAGTGCTTTGATTACTAGATCATTCACAGTAAGTTTACGTCTCGGTTGTTACAACATTTTACCTTCCAGATCTTCTATTAACATCATGTGGTATATTTGATTTTAAAAAAAAAAAGTGATGGGAATATGAACAAAGAGAAAAAGAAACTAAATAAAATCTACTAGACGATAAACTCAAGATTTTTTTTTAAGATTTAATTAAATTTAAAATTTCAGCCTCCCGTCTCCTTCATGCGGATATGTAAATAGCATCAAAATATCACTTTTAGTATTTCGCGTCACAAGAAATTTATTTTTCCCACTTTGTCATAGATTTTAAAATGATTTTCTGGCTTCTGTTTTAGTCAGACATCCACGTTTATTGAATATCAGGAAAAACATCCGCCTCTGATAGTTATTAAGACTCCCCTAATGTCACGCACATGGGAATACCTAATGAGTTTGTTTTCATAAATGACAGACCAGGGACAAATTTCAAAGGTAAAGACTAAAAGGTACAAAGGACAGGAAGTTGTGGAGAGCCTCGATCGCCTACGTTCTGAGTGATGATGATCTGCGTTCGTAGAACAATATGGTAAATATTGGAAATGTATACGAAATGCTTTCGTGTTCATCGATTGTTTAATAAGCTAATAGCGGTTACGACTGTTGAACGAAAACGTGTGGACATAACGTACAGAAGTGCTTCTGCAGACGCGTACTCGACTTTGTTACTCGTCAGAGCGTGAGTGTGCTTGCGTTGGTAAAGGCCGGCGAAAGAAGGAGAAAAACAACCAACCAGATCGTTCGACCCTGGTCAACTTCAGCACAGGTCGCATGATCTGCTTTTATAATATTATATTGTTAATGGAAAACATGTTTACGACAGTTACAGGAATTCGATAAATAAAATAAAGCGGACTGAAACGAAACGAGCAGGCGTAAAGAGAAGGCCTCTGGCGACAAATGTTTTAGACAATGGTTTGGTGTGAAAAGAGTCGGAATATGGTTATAATAAAAAGAGAGAAAAAAAAACAAAGATGGCAACAAAAAGTGGGGCAAATCGTAGCAAAATGAGGGTTCGGGTGAAGCAAGGAATGTAGAATGATAGAGTGGGTGGTTCTATCAGCAAGATGAGGGTTGCATAACTGAATAAAAGATTTTAATATTGCAAGAAAAATACTAGAAAAGCCATTTAAAAGAAAAGAAAAGCTGAAAACGAAAATGAAAGACGACAGAGATTATGAGAGAATGAGAACTCAATCGTTCACCTCGGAAGCTGTTTCGACTTGAAAACACAGTGTGATTTCTCATCTTCAGGAGAGCTGCTCATTTCCGAGCATGTTCATCTGTTCGACTCCATTAGCATTTCTTCAACAACTGCAGAGCCAACTTGTGCTCTATAATTCAACTATGGTGAGCAGACCTTAGTGACGGTTTAATTATGCGTACTATCAGAGCCACAT